CCCGACCTATCCTATTCTCCAGTTCTTGCCTACCATTCCTGCCATCCATAATGGCGATAGATTCTTGTAAGATAAACACATGAAAAAAAAAAAAGGAAGATCAGGAGATGAGAGATTTGCAAAGCGAAACAACCAACCCCCCATTCCTCTCTTTCCCCTCTCTCTCTCTCTCTCTCATTATCCTCCCATGCTCATTTGAATAAATTAACACCCCCCTGACGTATCGCTTCACCACCTTCCTCTTCCCCCTGATTTCCCCCCCTCAACAGGCTGCAGAGAGAGAGAGAGAGAGAGAGCTCCAGAAATAACCTCTGTTTCCATACACGTTCATTCACTTTCCCCCTCATGCACACAGACAATATCACACCCACCCTCCAGTACACCAAATTCATCCCCAAACATCGGGTTCAACAGTCTCGTCTCCGCTAATGCAAAACAGACACCCTCCTTAGTGCGCCAATAAAAATCATAAATCCCAAAATAAAAACATTAGGTCTGGTTTAAAAAAAAAAAAACAGACTGGTGCGCAGACGCAGATGTGTGGGACCCTCCCTCGGCTGGCTGACTGACTTGGTGCAGCTCACTGACTCATTTGACTAATGCTGCCAAGCGTAACAGGGCGTACGGTTCTGTATCGAGCTGGCTAATTAGCGCCAGTGTAGCTCCAGCTAAAACTGGGCAAGTTGCTGCGCCGCCATGCTAAACCAAAGCAGCTCCCCATCTGGGCCTCCTCGGCCGCCATTTTGGATCTACTCTGCAATAGAGCGTTCTAAAAGGCGGCCATACTGCAGGGGGAGCTCGGAGAAACGGGGTGCGTTGGCCACCATTACGGAAAAAAAAAAACTAGTGCCCTCCCATTACCTGCGTTTGGCTGAGGTGGGTATACGCGCCAACCCTTGCGCCCTCCCTTTCGCTCCACTACCACCCTCTACCCTCGATGACCTTGCAGGCATTGGGCTGGGGAGCCAGCTTTCTGCATTAATACCAGATACATTAGAGTTAATATGATTCTACCATGTAGCCGTGGCCTGAGGGGGGACTCTGATTGTCTGCGTATTAGCATTAGCGTTCTCATTAGCCCACCCGCTTCTGCCTTCTCCGCTTTCTCTCTTTCTCTCTCTCTTTCCTTCCTACTCTCTCTCTCGCTCTGCTTTTCTCCAGGCAACAGACGAGAGAGAAAGTGATGCAGATGATTTGTATTAGCAATGATTTCTACTGTAGCTGCCTGTTTGCAAGTCAGTGGTCACTTCCTCTCTGATGCACATATATACACAGTTCCAGATTTCTTTCAGCCAGTGTTTTGGCTTGTACTTTAATTCGAGTGTGTGTTTCACCATAAGTGTGTGGGAGGGTAAGGGTAGTGTTCCATCTTCAATATTTCCACTTGTTACATAACTGAGTTGAGAGGAGAGGTACAGAGAAACAAAAAGAAAGAGAGAGAGGCCTCTGTAGAAAACAAAGAGTCCGGCAGATCTGCTCAACTGCTCTCTTCACTGCTTCTTCTTTTCAATACAAACTTGTGCCCAGACCAACACACTTTAGTACATGCTGCTGAATTTCAAAAGTAGGATAGGAAAATTCCAGTGTGCCAAGGTAAACCTTTATGATCTAATGTCCAAGAGCATTTCGTAGTTGAGACCATGTTTTTTTCTGACTCCTTGTTCTCTGTCCTGTAAGGGATTTGAAAGTTGTCTTTACTTGGACTCTTCTAATCTATTTGTACAAATTCATATGATTTAATTTCATGTCTACTTTTTTTATTATTATGATAAACAGCCATGGCCTAATGGTTAGAGAGTTGGACTTGTGATTTAAAGGTTGCAGGCTCCTGCCCCGGTACCAGCAGGATTTGTTGGTGGGATCAACCTCAATACCACGGCTGAGGTAATTCTCATGAGCAAGGCACCAAACCCTAACTACTCCCTGGGTGGGTGTGCAAGGGTACCAGTCACGCTGGAAAAAAAAGCATCTGATGGATGCATAAATGTAAACGGTTTGCTCAACTCTCTATAAGGGTTATGGTTAGAAGTGGGATTTGGGGGCAAAACTTCCTTAATTTATTTAAAATTTGTACAAATTGAACACTTTTCTGACATTATGTAAAATAGTTACACTTCCTTGTGATATTAAGCTTATTGATGGACTCACCTGTAAGGTGTGTGGTCAAGTGATTCTTTAAGGTGTCAATGATGATAGCCGACATAGCGATATTGCGCTTCAGTGTCCAAAGTTCTTTCCAAATCTTGCCCCCATCTCCTAAAATATTGTCCAATCATTATAAAGACAAAAAAAAAAAAAAAAAACAGTGACCTTTTGAGGTAGAGGTGGCTGTACCATGAAAACTGACCAAATTTCTTGTAGCAAATTAATAAATTTCCAAATAAAATGCAGTAGCGGTCGGTAACACTGGTGTAATTTGCACGGAAGCGGGCTTCTCTGATTGAACAATATAGTGCTTCTGAGTACCGACAATATTTTGCAACAGCATATCTGGGATTTCCTCACTCTTTAGGAAATTATTTAGGAAAACCATATCAGGCAAGTCTGATGTACAAAAGTTTTTTCAAACGGAAAAAAATATTACCCTTTGTGTGGTGATAACACCTCAAAGTGTACCTTTTAGTAGTCAAAGGGGTTGCGCCATGCAGCGCCATCCATTTTAGAATTCTAAACATATATTTCTATCAGGGTAAGCACACCAGCGCTGCAAGTTGGCAGCTGTCTGCAGCGCCCATCTACAACTTAAGGTACTGTTCATATGTCTGCTGTGCTACAGAGCACCATTTGAATAGATTCATTTTAAATAGCGAATGTGCTCGCCCGGCAAATTTTTACTTCCAACTGTAATATGCGCATCTGGTGAGTGACCAGCTTCAAAAGACTGGAACCTAAGGTTTAAGGAGGCACTCATGTCTCCTTACAAATAGGCAAAACAAAACTGACAATTAGCCTACAATCTTTGCACAACCTACAGTTTAATCTGTTATCTCTCTCTTTTGGCAGTACCCAATTTTAGCGTGATACTTTGGAAACCAAATCTAAATTTAATGGGTTTGGGTCATATAGAATATTATTCTAAGTGGGCAGTGGGTGAACAAAGACTAATTATACAGCAGGAGTGGTCGGGTGCGGAATAAAATCTGGCTGGAGGGGGAGTAAAAAAATCAGTCCTGTGCAGACCTCTACTCCAAGGTATTGTTGCCACCTTTTAACCAAAAGAACAACTCAATCATTCAATGAATCCCAAGGTTTAAAGATACATTTCTGTCAATACAATCACAAAATTATAGTATTAAGCTTTTTCATTTTCAACTACTTTCAAGGTAGACAAAAAAATGCTTTAGACTGCATTGCTTCCATGTGATCGAGTGAGTTCAAACAACAACAAAAGACCACCACTTCTCTGTCTACTGACTCCATTCATAAATATTACAATAGTACATGATACTTAAGAACACTATACAGACATAATTTAAAACATAAGTTTGGTTTGAAGGTGAAAAAAGCACTATGCTCACCTAAACCTTCGGCATAATCTTGTGGCTAAATATGAAGCTGCTTCTCTCTATATAATCGTCTCATTTTGTGTTCATAAGTGTGCTTATTTCACACTATTTGAGCAAAAGGTCAAAAAAGAGAACAAATTAGTCATTGGGTCATAACTAAATGTGATGGAAACCTATCTCAGTACCAAACATGAAGGGTCTCAAACTGGAATGTCTGCTTTTAAAGAGTTATTTATTCATTTTCTTTTTGGCTCAGTCCCTTTATTAATCTAGGGTCGCCACAGCGGAATGAACCACCAAATTATTCAGCATATGTTTCAAGCAGGGGATGCCCTTCTAACTGCAATCCATCAGTGGGAAACACCCACACACTCTCATTCACGCACATACAATACGCACAATTTTAGCCAACCCAATTCACCTGTACCGCATGTCTTTGAACTTGTGGGGGAAACTGGAGCACCTGGACGAAACCCACGTGAACGCGGGGAGAATATGTAAACTCCACACAGAAATGCCAGCTGACCCAGCCAAGGCTCGAACCAGCAACCTTCCTGCTGTGAGGCCACAGCACTCTCACTGCGCCACCATGTCACACTTTTAAAGAGTTAGTTCACACACACATACAAAAAAAAATCTGTTTTTTATTCTGTTATTGACCTTTGCATTGATCTTCGTACCTTTTTGGAACGCAAATTAAAATATTTTAGATGAAATTTGAGAGCTCTATTATCCTCCATAGACACCAATTGGCCCATTTCATTCAAAGTCTAGAACAATACCCCAAAATCAAGTGCTTAAAACAGACAATTTGCCTTCAGCATTTCTGTTATCAAGTTATGAGAGTACATGTGGGCACAATAACCTAAAATAAAGGCTTTTTTCTTCTCAGTGTCAGTATAGGGCTCTCGTTCACAAGCATTATGCATGTTGTGCCTGTGCTTTGTTACAAACAGAGGAAGTCATGTGTGGGCATCTGGGGGGTATACATCAAGGCACAGTGCTCGCACCCTATACTGACACTGAGAAAAATAAACTGTTGAATCAAGTGATTATTTTTGTTATATGTGTACATAAAAGTATTCCTTTGTCTTCATAATATTTAGGTTTAACCACTAAGGGCATGTGGACTGATTAAGACTTTAAATGAGGCAGGACTTTGGAGGATGTCGGCAGATCATTTTATCAAAAATGTTGCCACTGTGACAGTACCCTTACCATAATATTCTGGCCACACTAAAATATAGATACTAACGTGAACATTTAGAAGACTCTAGCAAACTGACAAATTATTCTAGCCCTGGAAGCTAAAGGGTTTGTATGGTTCCACAAAATTGAACCTAAGGCCTGGTAGATGTTTAAATGAAAGTGTCAAACAAATCCATCCACAGTTGGGCAACAGAATAATATGATTTATTGTTATTTATTTTAATAAAATCACATAATAAAATAAGCATAATAAAATTAACAAAAATATAATGTGCATATGTAAATTATCATTCAGAAATTATGCAAATGTAACAATAGTTATGCAGAATTCTGTGGTCACAACTTATGAGTAATCATATATGATATCACTTCAACCTGTCCGCCTGAACCCAGGAGGAAGGATTCAGGCTTGAGAACAGAACTTCACCAATGATTATTCCACTGAAATCATCCAAACTGGCTCAGCACATCCCATGTCTGGGGCTGAGTAAGGATAGCCTACACTGATGTCAGTGTGTGAGTGGAATCACATGTCAGTGTGATGGATTTCTTTATTGGCTGATTCTCTGACAGGGCTGCACATAGGCTATAATCAATAGCAGTACTGCAAGTTACAGTTCAATAATTACCCAAAGAGGATGTGGGAGTGTAAAGCTAGAAGCGCTGGAGCGGAACCATCAAGCCATTGTATCCATTGGTAGCAGACTATCACTCTACACATTGTTGTCATTTCTTAAGTTGCCCCGGGGGGTAGTGTGCCATACTGTAATTTTGCACCCAGACATATAGCCCACTCTGGCATTGTTACATATCATTGTCAAAACAATCCATAGAAATCCATGACACGGCTTTAGCTCTTCTGTTTAAATGAAGGGCTTGCCAATTTCTACAGAACAGTCTCTATTAAATGTGATTTGAATAATAGTTCGTTCATCCAAGCTCGCTTAAAATTAACAGAATTTAAAACATATTATACATGAATTGAATTTTGCAGACTTGAATTGTGAAAAAAGCCGCTCTAGTCACCAGAAGATAAAGCCGCCAGGGTGGTCTGTGAGCATTATCCACCACTCTAGACAATACACGATACGCCCCTCTCATGTCATTCCTCTCATTTTGAGCGCGGAACAATGCCGGCGATTCAGACATTCCACGCTGCGCCTCTGAAGCGCGCGTTCTCGCTCGTTCGCATATGTTAATGCATAGAGAGCGCGTGATGGGTCTCGTGCGGTGTCTCTAGGACACACGCGTGTCATCAAACGATCATTGATGAAGAATGAACAACATTTACACGCACTTTACTTTTAAAATGAACACGCTCAACCATGGGGAAAAGAGACAAGATGCGGACTTTATCTGGTTTAAGTTGGCTTCCCAGCCTGGTCAAGCTAAATTCCCGGTCTGGTTTTTGAAAAGTGCACAAACCCAGCAAACAGACTTTGAGACAAGTCGCTTCTTCCTCTTTTTCAGCAGCGTCACACCGATACACAGTTGCTGGTGGTAAAAGGTAAGCCACTGATACCGCGGAAAATACAAATAAAAAGATCCGTCGTGCGTAAAAATCAGTCATTTAGTTCCCAGGTGCGCACTGGGTGCCACAGAATGCCCTTGCTGTCTCCAGCCACGTGGACCGCTCACAACAACAACAACAACAACAACAACACATTAAGTCCTGTCCTCTCGAATGCACTCAACCCACCCCCACCAACAAAACTCCGCGCGCCGTCCTCTTCGCGTCTCACTCTGGCCCCGCACCAGCACCTCTCCATCCCGCCGTACCATTAGACTACCGAAGGAGGGGCCGCTCGAATGACGGTCCCGCGGATGGGAGGGTACGAGAGGCGGGACCAAAGTCTTCCCTGCTTCTCGGTGCTGGAGAGTCCGGGACTAGGGCTGGAGAGATCGCCGGGGAGCATCGTCACCACTCCTGCACGGAGCCTAGCCTGGCCAAATACTGCACGGTGCACACGTCGGGATTGCAAAACATTCCTGAGAAATATACCTGCTATTTATGGCATGTGGCTGGTAACTTTACTCCTGCTGTATTCTTTTCAAGAAGGTATGTAGTGAGTTTATTTATTGCGGCTTTTTTATTACTTTATAATGTTGATGTGTATCTGTGCAGCTTATTAACTTAAATGAAGTAGAAATGTGCATGTACAGTGGATGGTTATTTAGCGTAAATCCATCGTGCGCTCTCGTTTTAGGATTTTATAAAGTTTCTCTGCAAAACTAACGCAACTTCGTTGAAAATGTTTTTTTCGGTCGCATAAAATGTGTAAAATCGTTTTTGTAGTTGGTAATTAACGAAGAACGGAAGATTATGAGGCTGTAGGATCTGCATGTTCCCGTGCGCAAAGATGGGGGAGATAGCATGATTTGTATGCAAGATATGAATATGCTGTTGAGTTATGAATATGTAGAACGGGAGTAGATATTTTGCATCGGTCTTGTGTATTTGTCATACTTTTGGCCTTCTGTTTGTGTTTCTTTGTAGAAAAGTAGAGTTTGTTGGTGAGGTGTGAATTTGTTTTGTCTGGGTATACTTTTTTTTTTTACTGGGCTAGAATAAAAAAAATGCTATTTTTCTAGGGTTTGAATATGTCTACTGTTTGTTGTTTATATTAATCTTCTGAATAAAGCTTTTAGAAAAAAGGGTTTTGCAATAAAAGTGCAGGTTTCTGTGGTAGGGGATGAATATATCTGCATAGATCCTGTGAAAAACAGAATGGCATATGCAGCCTCATTTCCAATTAGCACTGGTGCAATTAGTGGTCCTCCATTTTCTATGCCAACAGATTCCTGGTTTGACTGTGTTGATGGTGGGTTTGATATGGCACATTTGAATTTGTAGAAATAAAAAAAACGAAGATTTGACTTATTATGACTATAATTGAGGCTGCTTATTTGCTAATTCGGTTAGTTCAACGCATCAATTTCTGTCTAGATGTCTCCTCAACAATTTTGTTTTTGACACCTCACAGCATACAAACCCCTCCTTTCCTCATCCTCCAGCCTTGGATATATGCTTTCAGTTTCCCTCATATTTTTTCCTCCTGAAATTGTAACACATATTTTTGTGGATAAATCCCTTTTCAAAACATGCGCCTGTTTTTTATTATTATTTTTTTTTTTTATGAAATGGCTTTGTTTTGTCAAGTGTGGCTTTTTATTATTTATTAGCAAACAATTCAGATGTGAATGCTTTATCTGGTTTTACACCACTTGAGTTTTGATGCTTTAGAATTGAGACTTCTAATTTGTATATATTATAATTTACAATGTCATTTGCTCGAGAATGTAAGGTCAGAATTATTCTCTCCCCCTTCTCTGCCTCTCTCTCTCTTCCAGTGTGTATGTTTGCGAAAACGAACTGTGGTGTGTATTAATGGTGTGTTTGTGAATGTTTGTGTGTGTTCTTGTATGGGGGAGGAAGGGTGCAGTAGGGCGTAAAGTGCGTAAAAACGGGATACGGAGGTCGCAAACAAACTTCTTTTTGCCATGTTTTCTTTTTATTTTGTAGAAATCAATATTTGCAGTGTGTTTTCTGAAATTTCCAGTGTATTTCTTATCATGTATCTCTGATAACACGGACGATAGGAGATGTGAAACGCACATCAATTATCATACATGCATATGCATTAGGACTGCGTATTTTTTCGAGAGGGCCGCGCCTCCATCTTTTTCACTTTCAAGGAATGTAGAAACATTTCTTCTATAAAAAACATTTTTTCATAATTTTCCGAAATAATTATATGTTGTCACAGGCACATATTTTGGTCGTTTTGGTTTAGAAATCATTATATATTTTAAATGCATTATTATGCATTATTGTGACCCGGTCAAGTTGAGGCATATTACCCTCCTGCTTTCACACCTGAACCCCGAGCTGGGAAACCGGATCCAGGGTAAATTGTCGTCTCGAGGGTCAGCTTGTCTTTTTATGGAAATACAAGCAAATGAAATGAAAAGGTACCCAGGGATGCTGCAGTAGTGTATGTGGAAATTTCCATTGTTTTTCGCTTGTATTTTAATTTGATAAAAATAGTTTCAAATTATTATTATTATTAATATTAATACTAACTATAGTATAACCATTATTCTTAAATTGACATCAGGACACACTTCCTCATAGAAATATGCAATCCATGGCTTCCTTTCTCTTTTATTAAAGTTTATTGAAAGCTTTATTTTTAAATTGTGTTGGCTTTTATAAAATATTAGATTATTATCCAGATGTTTTATAGGCTGTACACATTTAGTGTGAGGTCATTTTTAAAAAAGCATATTTGTTTAGCTTTAATAATTTTATTTTTGAAATATTTACACAATAAAGGGATAGCAGGCAGTCTGTGTGTGAGAGGGTGTTCGCGTGCGTGTATCTGTGCCCGTCCAATATTTATTTTAGGGATCAGCAGTCGTCAGGTCGTCAAATTTGTGTGGTGGCTGCGATATTATCCGGTCTGATCCGATTTCCTCAACATTTGCCTAAATTAAAATGTGATTGAAAAAAGCTTGCCACGTCCAGCACATCAGGCCCTTTTAGAGTGAATTATATAATAACAACAACAACAACAATAATAATAATAATAATAATAATAATAATAATAATAATAATAATAATAATAATAATAATAATAATAATGTATTCATTAGACCACATCAGATACATATGCATGTATTTTATATTAGGTATTATTGTTTGCCAACATTCATGAGATTTCACCTCCAACTGCTCGCAATGTCAAACCTGCTCCTCACATCAGGACACCTTCATCCCAATCCGGTCTCCCTCTCATAGAAATATGCAAAATTGGTCTCATTTCTCCCCCCGTCCCATCAAATCCCCTGTTCTTCCCAGCTGCGCAATTAGTAGGAGATCTGCCGCATCCCCCACTCCAAAAGTAAATCAGGTCATTGGCCATAAGGACTCCATTTATTTCTCTCTCTCTCTCTCTCTCTCTCTCTCTCTCTCTCTCTCTCTCTCTCTCTCTCTCTCTCTCTCTCTCTCTCTCTCTCTCTCTCTCTCTCTCTCTCCATTTCGTTATACTCGTCACATACACCTGTTTCTCTTTTCTTTCCATGTAATTTGTCGGTATACACACTGTTCATTATAATACGTTCTTTCCTCTATGAAAATAAAGAGTAAAGCCTTGTGTGATCGCAGCATGAGTCACCGTTATAAACACGTTACTCTCACAAACTGTAAGGCAATCTGAACTTGAACTTTTCTACTTGAGAATGAGAGGATTTAGACTCAACTGGTTTGTCGCCTCATAGGTATTTTTTTAAACATCATGATTTATCCTCACGTTTTTGATAGTCAAGTGAAGAAGATTTATACTTTTTACTGGTCATGCGGGGAGGAAAAATGTTTTAAATAGACTACTTTAGTCAAATTACTACTACAACCTATTTTATTATAATTTCCTCTTGAAACCGTTGAGATGCTGAGCTGATTAAAAAAAACAAAACAAAAAACAAACAAACAATAAAGTAACATATGCAACCTTGACAAAATAAATTAATAGATAAAAACTATCTACATTAATAAATGTACAGTCAATAGACATTTAATTGTTTTAATTAGTCATAACTGTTTACACCAGGCATGCAGAATATCCACAGTCCATACTTTGAACTATCTGCAACATTCATCAAAAACTCCTTTAGACTCAGACTCGGAAGAAAACAGGAGTCACGAATGTAACCAGCGAGATTTACCGGGTTATGAGCCGTGCTACTTTTTTCCCTCCCTGCACCTAAAATCACACCCCGCTGCTCCACCTGCCATTTAAGCTGAAGTGCGGTCAAAATAAAAATCTGCGTGTCACTCCGGCGTTCCGCTTCGACAGGTGACCGCTGTTCTCCTTTCAGAGCTCGTGTGCCGGTGAGTTAAGCGCGTGAACAAACACTGCGCCTTCGGAGCACCTGCTGCACCCGGTGGTCCCGGCCGGCTACTGCTACATCCGATCGGACACCACGTGCGCAGAGCATCACTTGGCAGGAGATATCATAATGTAGAATTATGAGTGTTTGACTTCTCTTTTTGAGTTGAAATCCATCCAAAACTATCCAGCCTAAAGGTTGAGGTCTTAATTATTAATTGTATTATTTTTAAATGTAGTCTAAACGTAAACTTTGGGTTATGTTTCAAAACCTTTAACTATCTTTGGTAACGATGAGATTTAGCCACAAGATAATCTAGTCATGAAGATTGGTAACCATAGCAACAGTACACCGCTCGAGTTTTCTTTTACAATGATCGTCAAGGATTTAACGCACATGGAAAATTAATTTGATTTACGATTTAAACATCATAAATATAATTAATCACATAATTTATCTCTAATATAAAAACTACTTTGTTGGATGTATTAGCATTCTGTTTAGCTTTATGTTAAATAATATTAATAATTAACGTTAATTAATAATAATCTTGGTCATTATGTTAACGTATGTCAGACCTTTGGTGGAGCAAATACAGTCATATAGGGTAAGACATGAGGGTGATAAAAACAATTAAACAAAAGGTAGACTTATGTTCTGGTCAGCATTGGGCCAGACAGAATCTGCAAACATTTTTGCTATTTCTGCAGAGAATTTTGTAAAAAATCTGCGGATTTATGCAGAATGATTTTGGGAGCATAATAACTAAACATTTAATACATGAAAAAAAATAAAATACATTTTTTTACTTTTATGTAATGTTTACAATGCAAATCCAGTTAGATCCACTTATTCAGCAAAAAAGTCTCCTAATAGAACTACTAAAAGACAGAAAATATTACTTTACAAACTGTATTGTAAATAAATCACACAGACAATTTATAACTATTGCTATTATATCACAATAATTTGTGAAATTCATTAAAAATTTTAATAAATACGAATTAAGTATACAGGCTAAATGATGGGAGAAGAAGGTCTAAAAATCTGCAGAATTCTGCAGATTTCTGCACGCAAGGATTCCGTGTGCACCTAGTTGTAGCTAATGGTAACAGTGAAAATATATCCTCAACATATTAGAGCCAAAAATTTACAAAATGACTTGATGAA